AGGATGATTTTCATGTTCCTATCAACATGAAACAAGATAGAGTATCATCGCCATCATCGTCGTCATTTACTGAGCCCTTATGACATGACAAAACTTCTGCTGGGTGCTTTACACACATTGCGGCGTGTCCTGTCCCAGCCGCGCTCTGAGGTAGGTGTTACCTCTGCTAAGCCATTTTCCAGATGCGGAAATGGAGACAGAGAGAGGCAAAGCTACTCGCTGGAATGAAGCTGTGGCTTGCTAAGTAACCGCCTCCTCGGACAGACAGGGACCTTGCCTTCCTCTGTAGCAGGGAGATTTTTATTCATCTGAAATGATCCATTGTAACTTCTCCAGAAAGGGCAGCCAATGGGAGAACTCCACAGGGTGGCCGCGCACAGTCCTCTGTAGGGGCAGGGTGCCCCAGCCGCCGGGCATGGCCCGCTCCAGAGTAACCCAGTGCACCCAGCGCAGCGTGAGGGGGAAGAAAGTCCAACCGGTCACTTCTAGGAGTCTGAGATGGTTAGAGGAAGGAAGGAAGAGTCACCCAGACTGTGGCTAGCGCCTGCCACACAGTCTGGGTGAGTCTGGGACAAGAAAGAAGAATAAGGAACTGAGAGAGTGACATGCTGAGCAGCCGAGGGGGAAATTGCCTAGGAGAATTTTTTTAAAATGTCAGGCTGCCCTGCAATATGCAATTACCTGTTAACTCTCTCTGGCTTCTGCGTTGTTTCTCTGAAAGTAGCGCCACATTAAGAATAAGTCAACGTGCAGTGTGGATGGAGCAAGAGGCTATTATGCTAAGTGAAATAGACAGAGAAAGACGGGTACTGCATGGCTTCACTTCTATGTGGAATCTAAAGAACAACAACAACAACAAAAAACCACGAGAAAACAATATTGAAACAGCCTCACAGATAGAGAATAGACTGATGGATGCTAGATGGGAGGAGGAGTTGGCAGGGCTGGGTGAAAAGGTGAAGGATTAAAAAGCACAAATTGGTAGTTGCAAAACAGCCATGGGGATGTAAGGTACAACACAGGGAATCTAGGCAATAATAGTGCAGTCTCTCTGCGCGGTGCCAGGCGGGCCCTGGAAATACCAGGGGGAACACCGTGCCAAGTATCTGATTGCCTAACCCCTATGCTGCACACCTGAAACCACCACAAAATGACATTGAATGTCAACTGTAACTGACAAATAAAATTTAAAAAAAATAATAAGTCAGGTGGAGCCCTGAAATTTGTGTTATATTTATACTTACATATAGCTCATTTCAAAACAATTTGCAGTGAGCATGTGATTCATGTTATAATGAACCCTTTTAGGTGTCTTTGAACAATAGTTTAAGATGGAGAATTGTTTGGGGAGCAGCTACAAATTTCCTTAGCCAGGAGCCCATTCAGATCCTTCGTGTTCTGCCCTTCTAGGGCAGTAGTGGCCAGAGAAGAGGCCTCACCCCCAAAGGGCTTGGCAGACCGGAGAAGGCACCCGTGCTTGCCCTTGGCCCTGTACGGTGTATCTCGGGGAGAGAGGTGGCATTTACGCTTTCTCATTTCAGTTAAGTAACTTTTAATCCACTTGCCTGGAATGGTGCCCAATCAGCAAATAGGGCTCTGAGGCAAGAGGGGCACTTGCATCTTGTCCAGTCTATTTATCACCGGTCTCCCGCAGCGGACTGAGAATTTCCATCAACTTTGCTCATAGCTTATCCTCAGCACCTGGCACAGTGCCTGGCACTTAAAAGATATTCACAAAGAGGAATGAAATGAGGGTTATCATCCTAGAAAATGCATCACCTCTTCCCTTAAAAGCCCTCGCATCTCTCTTTGGAATTCTCTCTTTTTCAGTTTAAATCTATGATAACCCTGGCTCAGAAACTCGGAGTAAAAAATCCAAGTGTGGCCAGGAAAAGAACCAAAGCAATAGAGTTATAAAAGGGCATGATAAGCAATGCAGTATTGGCTCTAATTTTTTTGCTCTTTATTCATTTATGTATTCCAAACACATAGTATATTCCCGACGCCATGCTAGGGTACAGGAGATACAAACACTTAATCAAGGGGATGATCAAGGGGATAAATACGGCTTCCCTAGAATTCATCCTAATCCATTAATAATAATAGTTAGTGTCCAGTGCTGAGCTCCAGGTATTGTTCTAAGTGCTTTTCATATGTTGCTGTGTTTCTAGGTAGCATTGGGTTTGTTATGCACTTTTTGCAGATGAGCAAGCTAAGACTCAGAAAAGGGAAGGAATTCATTCCTGTCCCACAGCTGGTGGTGCAGACCAGCTGGGGTCCCTGCAGCCTGACACCTGTGCTCATGCTTTTCATGACGTCGAGCGAACTTCCTGAGGGGTGATCTGCGATGACGGGTCTTCGCATCACCAGAGATGCAGGATAAAAATGCAGACTCCCAGGCCTCTGGCAGGGGAGCCTGGAAATCCACATTCTCTAGCCACTAACCTGGGTGAGTCAGACATGCACGGAAGCTTGTAAAACCCAGCCCTCAGGTGAGCTACATGCGCTCCTTGCAAGTTTATAAAATCTAGGACCTGCCGCCTACATTCCACCCCGATCCCTGCCCCCGATAAACAGAATGGAAGAGGAATGTGGAGGGAGGGAAGAAAGAGAGAGGGAGGGAGGGCAGAAAGGAAGGAAGAAACTTGTCCCAGATTGAGCTGTTTCAGGTCCAGCCAGGTCAACACGGAGCCCCCTGCGTCTCTGCTCTGCGGCTTGCAGCAGCAGGCTCCCCGTGACTGTTGAAGCAGCGGCTGCTGATGGCTTGGTGACCCTCTACAGATGATGATGGCTGCCCACGTGAAGTGCTTGAAGCAGCCAGCCACTGGGAATAGCAGCGGGGTGCAATTGAGCTGCACCTCCATGTTTATCCCTCCCCAGGTTGGGACAGTACTGCCCTGTGTCCGCTCGAGTGGCCGGGGTCCGTATCCACCTGTGCACACTGCGATGGTTCAGCCAGCAGGACAAGTGGCTGGGAGAAGGCACGGAGGCAGGAATCCTGGCTCCCAGCAGGCCACAGGATGCTAAGATAACAAAAAGCACGCCATGCTCAGGAAGTGGCCTGTGGGTGGTCCTGTCAGGCCCACACGGGTTTGGGGGGCTGGGGGGTTGGGGGGTGGTTATCCACCACTGGTTCTCACCAGCAAGTCACATGATTACTCTGAGTCTCAGTTTCCTTGTACAAAAAATAGCTATCATATCTGATGGCTATTAATATTATCTGTGATTTATTGAACACTTTTCATGTGTCAGGCTCTGCCTTGAGGCAATCCATCAATCTCCGTAACAAATATCTATGGAGTAATTTTTGTCCCCATTTGACAGAAGGAAATGAGTGTTAGAGAGATTAAGAAACTTGCTCTCAGCTCCCAGCAGGTAACCAGTGAGACCAGGATTTGCTCCCAGGTCTGCCTAATAACAAAGCCTGTCCTCTTAGTAACTACTGATCCCTTCTCCAATGTTCCTTCCACTTCTGCTTTCCATGACTAAGTGCCTCAAATATAAGATGTTCATGGTTTCAAAGAAAGGAGGGTACCACCCTGTCTTCCCAGCCCCACATCTGAGCCTGGACGGTGAAAATGTGTTAGTTCATCTGCGTCCAGCAGGGGTTCAGCGCAGATGGCCTCTGCAGTCCTGTCCGCTGAAAGAGCTGTGCCTGCAGAAGGGGGCCCAGAGGCCTCCAGCAAGGAGCCCAAGTTTCAGCCGCTGAGCAGATGTCAGAAACAGGGTCCTGCTGTGGTCTGCTTTCCCCAAGGTCTGAACTGAGGAGCCCCTCTGTGTGATGGGCATGAAGGGGCTTTCAAACACCACAGAGATTCATGGAAAACCCAGACCCCCGCCCCATGCCCCTCGCCAACCTCACCTCCCACCGTTTGCCCCTCATTCACTCCTACTTCTCTTCCCTCCTCAAACAGACCAAACCCATCCCCACCTCAGGGCTTTTGCACGTGCTATGGCCGCTGCCCAAAACACTGTTTCTCCTGCCTAGAAGGCACTTTCTCCAGATCTTCACAAGCTTCCTCCTCCTTGTCACCCAGGTCTCAGATCATGGTCCCCTCCTCCGAGAGGCCTTTCCTGACCACCCCGTCTAAATTGGCACCTTCCATCCATTCCTCTCCATCACATCTTCCAGCTTTACTTCCCCTCCAGGGCTGAAATAATCTTGCTCATTATTTCCTTACATCCCTAGAAAAACGCCCGGCAAATGGTTGACTCTCAATGAATATGCGCTGAATGAACAAACCAATGAATACATGAATAAATGAATGGGAAACTTTTGCAAACTTTTTTTGTAATAAGGATCCAGGAACCTGTATGCAAAAGTAGCCCTTCCTTTCGGTTAACAAGGGCAGAGACCACCCCCAAAAATAAATAAATAAATACCAGTGTGGTTGGTAACAACTTAACAACCAGCCAGCAGTTATAGGCACACACATTGCTGGGCATGTTTCCAAGGCTAAAAAGGCACTAATTGCTTTCATATAAAGAGGTAGAAATGCAGTCCCTCTGTGCCCTTTAGTCCTGATGATCTGCGTTGTCGTATCTGTTACCGTGTGAAGTGTTGCTGTGTCACACAGCCTGTTTGGGCCTCGCTCTGCCTGTCTGGGATGGTGACAGGTGCCTACACAGAGAAGAGAGGGACTAGGGGAGCGTGCGCGCCTGTGTCTGTGCATGTGCTTGTCTCCGTGTGTGTGCACGTGTGTGTGAAAGCAGCAACACACTGGGAAGGGTTAACACAGCCGGGCTGTGCCCAGGCCGTCCGCTGGCCTGGGGACAGGAGGGGTGGGCCTGGAAGGTGGAGCGGGCTTGGCTGGCATCGGCTGCCTTTTCCAAGACGGGAGTGCAAATGCTTGCCCAGCTGGACTGAGGGCGGTGAACTCAAGTCTCCTTTAGGGATGGCTGAAAAAGGCAACACCTGGAGACCCCTCCCTCCCTGTCCCTCCACAGCAGGTCGCATCTGGGAGACGCTCTGGTCATTAGAGGAATGAGTGACAGTGAGTGATTCGCCGGCTCGCCGGCACTGGGCGGAAAGCAGCAGCAAGGATGGATGTGGTTGACAGCCTTCTTGTGAACGGAAGCAACTTCACTCCTCCCTGCGAACTAGGCATCGAAAATGAGACGCTTTTCTGCTTGGAGCGGCCCCATCCGCCCAAAGGTAGGCAGAAGAGACTGTTATTTTAATTCAGAAAACTAGTCCATTGAAGGGGAAATCAGCAAAGGCAAGGTTGATAGAGAAAATATAACCACGTCCTCGTGAGACAAGGCTGAATAAAGTCATCTGTTCAGAAGTTTGGATAAGAGATCAACAAGCAGAATGGAGTCAAACATTCTCAGGGTTCCCCTCGGGAGAGCGGAGATTAACGGCCAGGACTTGGGGGAACAAAAGCAGCGGGAGGAGACGCTGAAGTGTAGCAAGGAGGCAGGACGAGCAAGTGTGGAAGCTCCAACTTACGGGCACTGCGGGAACGGTGCTGTCACAATCTAGCTGTCACCTTTTCTTGGGGCAAATCTGGCGTGAAGAAGTGATTAAATAATGCTTAGCAGCTAGGAAAGGAAGCAAACACTATTCACTGGAGCAGCTTTGTTCTTAAGAAAGTGGTTCCCCGAGTGATCCTTTAACAAACCAACCTTTTAGAAGCAACAGAATCGCTCTGCTCCCCCCAGTTTGTTTCTGCAGGATATTTTCAGAGCAGGAATAGTTGGTTCAAGGATTACACCCCTGCGGGGGGAAATCAGGAGGAAATAGCTGTTGGCTTCCTGTGCGAAGGTTTTAACATTCTGCTCTCATAACCTCCATCCCTCCTTCCTGTCCCTGTTCCTCTTTGCAGAGTGGCAGCCAGCTGTGCAGATTCTCTTGTATTCCTTGATATTTCTGCTGAGCGTGCTGGGAAACACGCTGGTCATCACAGTGCTGATTCGGAACAAGAGGATGAGGACCGTCACCAACATCTTCCTGCTGTCCCTGGCCGTCAGCGACCTCATGCTCTGCCTCTTCTGCATGCCATTCAACCTCATCCCCAACCTGCTCAAGGATTTCATCTTCAGCAGCGCTGTTTGCAAAACCACCACCTACTTCATGGGTGAGTTGCTGCTGGGGGTGACTATTTCCGGAGCTCACCTCAGACCCCACTCAGTCCCAGGCCTTCCCAGACCCCTGACAGCCTCGGCGGAGGAGCCCTGCTGAGCATAAAAGACAAAATGCTGGGCTGTGTGGGGCCCTGGGCAAGGACACAGGTGCTGGCTTTCCGGTAGCCCAGTACCCCTCTGTCCCCAGCGGTCAGTCCCCAGTAGTATGTTTCAGGGATCAGTGTCTCGGAGTAGAGTAAGTTGGTAAGAAACCACAGGAGAGGTTCGTTTGGCTAGTTTCTGTGAGAGACAGACAGATGCACGCTGCTCTGCTGCCTTCTGAAAGCTGTTGATTGTATGCGGAGCTCTACCCAACCCAAGCCACAGCTTTGGGGTGGTGAGGGGGTGGAGGAGGGTTCTTTCTCGTGTCGCTCTTACTTTCCTAGGGAACAGGGGCTGTTTGCAAAGCACTGTCACCCCAGCTCTAGGCTCCCTGCTGAGGATTCACTTCCCAGCCTGTTCCTCAGAGAGACGCCTCTGTCCCTAGAAGCGCAGTTGAATTTGCTCATGGGGGCTATGGGGTCACTAAGTGGACCCTGATTGGCAGAAACATGTGGCTCTCTGCCTATGCCAATCAAAATGATGATGGCAATGATGAAAATCCTAAGAGCATTTTTTAGTACATTTTATGCACCGGTGTTATGATAGGTGATTGTACTTCCATGATCTTATTTTACAGACCAAACACCCTAAGTATAGTTACTTTCCACTGTTGCTGAGGGGGGAACAGAAGCACAGAGAGGCTCATAATGTGCCCAAGGCCACGCAGGTGGTAAGCCACGGAGCTGGGATTTGAACCCAGGTCAGCAGGCACCACGGTGGCAAATGAGCGCACTGCCTCGGTTTGCCAGCTGCTGTTGGTGCTCCTGAAGCCAAACAAAGACGTGTCTTTTGGTCCCTTCTGTCTGCTAAGTCGCCTTGTTCCCTGCCTGTTCTGAGGACTACTTGGGAGGAGGAGGAGAGGTGGGAAATGGGGAGGGGGAGCTGGGATTTGTTCTAACTGAGCCTTGCAAGACATGCAGAACTGAGACCTGGGCTGAGGCAGGCTTCACTGGCCAGAAAGCTTTAAAAGCCTTCATTTCTCCCCGTTGGGGAAGTGAGATATGGCACTAACAAAATGAAGATGAATTCCCTACCTGCGTGCCATGAACAAATAACTAAGGAAGTGTCACTCTATGTCCCAGTCCTCTGAAAATAAAAACAGACTACAAAGGAAAAGGACCATTGTTCAACAATGAGGTAGTAATAATAATTAGAACTTCATAGCGCTTTAAGCTGTAAGAGCAGTCCATAGATACCTTATGATAATATTATTTAAGAATCTTAAGCCAGGATTCGTGAAAGTCAATTTAAAATTTGCTAAATGCCATAAACTTGTTCATCTTAAAACAGTACATTTTGTTATGTGAATTTCACCTGAATAAAAAATGGTTTGAAAAATAGCAAAAATGAAAAGCCAGGTGATTCTTAAAGTGCTTGCAATATTGTAATGGTTTTGCTGAGCTGCTGCTAACAGTGATGTCAGGTCTTCCCTTAATTTTGAGTTCTCTTCAATGCTATTGCTAACAATGAACATTCGTTAAGTTCCTAACGTGGAGACAAAAGAGGGGTGCTTACCTGATAGTGGGTTTATAATAACTGTGGACCCGCCGCACAGCCTAGACTCGGAGGAGTTAGGGGCTACATTCTCTCATCTCAATGTCGCAAGCTTCTTAGGTCCAGGGACACAGAGCCAACCCTCTCTCAGAGCATGAGTGTTCGTTGGGGTGGCCAAAAAGTCCATTACACTTTTTTCATAAAAGAAAAGACACATTTTTCACTGTCACCAATAACTTTTTTGATTTGGATATTTTGAGTACATTGGCTGTCTCCTGCTCTTGGCTTCTAATGGGCAGAGGCCAGGGGTGCTGTTAAACAGCTGAACATCTTCCCGTACATAAGACAGCCCCACAGCAAAGAATTATTTGGCCAAAATGTCAATATCACCAAAAAACTCCACAAACCACTTTTGACACATTTGGTCAGTCACAGCACCTTCTCCATACACTGCACAAATCTTTTTTTGCATTTCAGTTGCATTTTTACCTATCTTGAAATAATAAAGCATAATATGCCAAAAATGTGTATATTTGTCCATCTTCAATATTAAAATGGCTATACAGAAATTCAATTTTGATAAGTTTTTTAAAATGTAAGCTGATATGACAGCTACCACAATACGGTCTAACAAAATTGTTTCCAATGAAGTTAAAGACGGCCAAGCACCACTAGAGCCATCGTACAGAGAAAACGAAATGAACTTCTTGGCCACCCCAATATTGAATGGTTTGGGGGTTACAGGTTGCTTTAAGTCTCTAAGAAATGGTATGGATATTCTCTGTAGAAAAAGAACATTTTTATACAAAGTCTCAAGGAATTAATTTTCGTTCATAAAAGGCCCCAGGCTAAGGACTTCTGCTACCGAGCTCCAGTGAAGTCTTAGGTTTAAAATATTATCGTAAGATAGAAGCAGAAGAATTGACAGGACTCATGGGTAAAGAATTAAAGGAAGTTTTAAGGGGAGAAGACATTATAATAAGTATACACATATGGAGCACAAAAGTTAAGGAACATTAAGCTTTTTTGACGATACCTCAGTACATCATTTTAAATGAGATGCTTTGCTGCCTCATTCATTGCCATGCATACTCATTCTACAAAATACAGAAAAGCAAGGAGAACAAGAGGAAGACCCTAGCCCTCCATCCAGAGAAACCTTTACTTATAGTGTGGAGTTTTCCTTTTCAACCTTCTTTATTATGTGGGTTTTTTTTTCAACAAACCACGTTTTGAATTTGGAATGTTTCACTCTTATAAACAGTATGTACTAGAATGTCTCGGAAAGAGGTTTAATGCCCTTAGCTCAGACTCTAGCGACCTCTCGGGTCACAGTCCTTAAGAAACTGGGTGATGGGGTCAACTTAACTGTACAGATCATGCTCAGATCAGAGATTTTCTGGGGGTTACTCCAAAGTCTCCTCTGTGGGGTAGGGACATATTGCATCCACTTGGTTATTAATTAATGAGCACAGTCAACGCGAGAAGACATTAGGTTGTTTTCAAAGTTCACTATACTTATCTGAAAATTGGCAAATACACTTCTAAACTGCTTTCTTAAACCCTTTTCAGAACAGAGCTGGGAATAAATCATTTTTTAAAAATATACATACATGAGATTGCTTTACCCTCTGAGCAATTTCCTTTGATATCAAACCTATGCAGATCAGATATGCTTAAGCTAATGTGCAAATAAACTTTGGATTTCAAAGCCGACAAAACCACCTCCTTTGTTCCTTCCCAGGCACCTCTGTGAGCGTATCCACGTTTAATCTGGTGGCCATATCTTTGGAGAGATACGGTGCGATTTGCAAACCCTTACAGTCCCGGGTCTGGCAGACGAAATCCCACGCTCTGAAGGTGATTGCCGCTACCTGGTGCCTCTCCTTTACCATCATGACTCCGTACCCAATTTATAGCGACTTGGTGCCTTTAACCAAAAATAACAACCAGACTGCGAATATGTGCCGCTTCCTACTGCCAAATGATGTTATGCAGCAATCCTGGTAAGGCTGCCTAACGTTCATTCATTTGATACAACTTGATCCAATTTTGAAGTTTTTGTTAAAAACTGGAATGTATTCTCCAGTGTGGCTGAGGGACCGGTTTCCTGAAAACACTTGGCAAAGAATCATCCTAACCTCTTTCTATGGTAACAGTGCTCGCAGACACTTAGGGAGCTCCGTTTTAAATGCCATACATCTATTCATTCAATTAATCCTCTCAAAATGTAGATACTATTATTGTCCCCATTTTACAGATGAGAAAAGTGGGACGTGAGAGGTTAAGTGTTCAAAGTCACAAACCTGAAGAGACAGAGCCTGTGTGCCACCCACTAAGCAGTGCGCTTCCGGGTGATGTGTACGGGGCTGGGCTAGTGGTTTGGGGGCCATGGCTAAGGGCGGACAATGGAGTGAGGGTGAGTCCTGGCTCCCAGGTGGTTTTTCTTAGGGCTGCAGCGATAGTGCTTGGATAGAGCGCTTTACTGGAAACAAAAAAGTAAGAATCTAATTCCTGTTTCTTTGCTGGGTGACATGGGACAAATTCACACAAGCACTCTGAGGTAGAGGTTATCTATACAAGGGTTAAAATAGATATTTTTTTTATCTACCTCATCGTGTGGCTGTAGGATTCAAATGAGTGTGTATAAAAATGTCATTAAATATCTTTTAAAAGGCTACACAAATGCAGGGTATTATGTTACTAATTCCAAGCATGTTTTAGAAACAGGGAGCTAGATATTTTAAAATGGCTCAAAACTGAGATAATCTTTGCCTTTTTTTTCATTTCAACCCAGTAAAACACACACACACACACACACACAGAATGATGTTGCAAATGAGAGGGACTCGAAAAGGAATCTTATCAAAACATGTCCAATTGAAATGAGAAATGGCCTAGCCACCGTGAGCCTCTGACAATTTTATGGCCTCATCACCTAACCTCACACATGCCAGACTACAAAAGTGATTTAGGGGCCAGGCTCATAAAAGAGGAGGCTGTGATGCTTCAGGAATCAAATGTGTTTAGAGAAAGCATAGCTCTGCCCCACCAGGCACTGGAGCGAGCATGCCACTGTGCTGATGTGTCAGAAGCAGCCAGAACGCCATGTTTTGCAAAACCAAGGCGGCTTGCCGTCATTCCGACCCCTGCTTTTTGATTGTTCTCTTGTTCTCTTTGATTGTTCAGAGCCAACAAATGGCATATTGATATGCTTGAGAGCACAGGTTCAGAATCATAGTGCTTGGATGTGAATCCCACCTTTGCCACTAGCTGTGTGGCTTTGGACAAGTTATTGAAGTCAGTCTCTAAGTCTCAGTTTCTTTACATGTCAAGTAGGCATCATGAGAATACTGCCTACCTCAATGGTTATTATGGGAGTTAAATGTAATACTACCCACATAAAATGCTTACCCTAGTGTGTAACACATTTAATACGACTTTGGTGAATGTAAGTTCTTTATTTTGTGGGGTTTTTAAAAAAATAATAGCTTTACTAAGACAAAATTCACATATTCTTTTTTTAAGCTTATTAGTTTTATATATAGACTTGTTTTGAGCACAGAATCTTACCAAACTTTTCCAATTTAACTAGTCCTTCATAAGAGACTTTATCTGGAAAAAAAAATAACTTCTAATGAACGACATGGAATTTCCAAGGACATTAAATGCTAGCGATCGCTGGTTGCTCAGACCAGTTACAATGGAGACAAACCCTATTTCTCCCATCCCATCTGAGTTTGAAATAGTGGATCGCTGGTTATTGGATTTCTCTTTATTTTATTAGGCACACGTTCCTGTTACTCATCCTCTTTCTTATTCCTGGAATTGTGATGATGGTGGCATATGGATTAATCTCTTTGGAACTTTACCAAGGAATAAAATTTGATGCTAGCCAGAAGTCTGCCAGAGGTAACTATCTTTTAGCCATATGTTTATGCCAAAAGATCAAACAGCCTGTTTTCTGTAGCTTAACTAGATATACCCACAATATATTGGGTATAATATATTGGAGATTTTCAGAAGTCTCATCAGACTGTGTCATAAGGCGCCGTCATGGGACCGAGTGTCTCTATTTCTCCATCTGTGTAGCAGAGGAGTCACCCCTCTGGAAAGGGGTCCCACAGGAACAACATGAGATGACACACACAGACCTCCACTTGGAAGGGGGGCATGTGCCCCACACTTCCTGTAAGGTTGTATTCAAATGGCCCCCCTTCGCCACCCAAGCTAACTGTAACCCCAGTCCCCCTCCGCCTGCCTCCTCCCTCCACAGCCACACTGCAGTTGTCGCAAAGCTTTATCCCAGCCCCGTTCATGACAGCCCACTGTCCACTCAAATTGACCCCAACACCTTTGTTGACTTAACTTTTTCCCTTTCTCACTCCAACGCTTCCCTTCCTTCTTCACCGTGCATATAGCTTAGCCTCTCCCGCTTCTTTGTCTTCTGTTGACTTTTGTTCATTATCTAGATTCGTCACAGGAAAAGCAGTTTGGAGGCTTACCAAGGAAGCAGATAGCTTTTCGCTGAGGGGCCAGGGAGGAAGGAAAAGAGTGTGGATATTCATTCCTTAATTATTTTTTATCCGTATAATCTACATAGATACAAAATGCTACATAGCATATGGCGTATGTCATATACATTACTTTGTTAGTTTCAAGTAGTTTTCCACTTGTAGGGAAAAGTAGTATAGGTTAAATACCCGTATTGCGGCCCAAGGTTGCCGGCCCCATTCTTCAGATCATGTTTCGATTGGCCCCTTTGAGGGAAGGGGTGGTGCCTCCTGCTTGGCCCAGCCCATCGTGAACAGTAATAAGTGCTGCCACTTGCCCACGCAGAACGCAAAGCGAGCACCGGCAGCAGCGGCCGATACGAGGACAGCGACGGGTGTTACCTGCAGAAGGCCAAGCCCGCGCGGGCGCGCGCGCGGACGCTGGAGCTGCAGCGGCTCTCCAGCGGCAGCAGCGGCAGGGTCAGCCGCATCCGGAGCAGCGGCTCCGCGGCCAACCTGATGGCCAAGAAGCGGGTGATCCGCATGCTCATGGTCATCGTGGTCCTCTTCTTCCTGTGTTGGATGCCCATCTTCAGCGCCAACACCTGGCGCGCCTACGACACCGCCTCCGCCGAGCGCCACCTGTCGGGGACCCCCATTTCCTTCATCCTCCTGCTCTCCTACACCTCGTCCTGCGTCAACCCCATCATCTACTGTTTCATGAACAAACGGTTCCGCCTTGGCTTCATGGCCACCTTCCCCTGCTGCCCCACCCCGGGGCGAGCAGGCGCCCGAGCAGAGGCGGGGGAGGAGGAGGAGGGCCGGACCACGGAGGCCTCGCTGTCCAGGTACTCGTACAGCCACGTGGGTGCCCCCGTCCCGGCCCCGTGAGCTGGCGCCGCCCTGCAGGGCCCGAGGAAGGAGGAGGAAAAGAAAGAGGTGGGAAGTGAGGGAGAAGAAAGGCTCCATCTGCAGTGGGAACTCTTCACGGCCTGCTTTTCACCCTTTATCCGGGTGCCAGGCGCGCTGCTGGGCTGAGGCCATGACTTGGTATCTAGGTAGTTCAAGGCAGGACATCTTCAATGACATCCACCATCAGGAAAAGCTCAGCAGGCCAGTGACAGGAGTCCAAGAGGGTTCGTGCTGCAGATGTAATTGCCAAGCACACGTTCCAGAGGGGACGTGCACCCTACTGAGTTTTAGGAGGTTCTAGACTCGCCAAGGTGGGCTCTCACTCCATAGTGACTCACGGCCATGCTCAGCTGCTGCAGGACTGTGGGCTGCTTGGCCCCTGGGGAGTCTGTCACTCATGTAGGTCCTGTTGTCACCCCTCATCATGACCACAAAAGGGAAGAGGAAGCAAACCCTCTTCTGGCTCTTTCTGTAGTAAGAGGACAGCTCCACTTTGTTTCTGAAGTCAGTCAGGGTCATTCAGAGACGTACGTGTATGCTGTCATCAGAATAGCATAAGGAACTGTCTCGATGGAATTTAGAATTTATATTTCTAAAAATAACAGAATACAAGGCAAATAGCTGGATCAAATGATATCCCACTTCTCATTAAGCAATTGTAAACACCAGAAGGTGAATAGAAATTTTTTTTCCCTACTTTAATGATATCTGTTGCTTAACTCCACTTCTGCATGGTGATATTAAGCCCCATGGCTTCTTTGCCACAAATTAGTTTTTCATACTCACCCAGCACTTCCTCTTTTCCAGAAAGACCTCCAGGTACAAAGGAGAGTTGTAACCCATGCATACCTGGCCAAGGGTAGAAGCATGTGTAGTCAGGCCCAGAATTAAAACTGGCATACTTGGACTCAATTAACAAAATTGCTTTTGAATGTCAAAGATATCCATGCCTTTAAATACAATCTATATACTTGCCAATAACTGTACTGATTTTATATGCATGTGTAAACTGAACATATATGTTCTTTATATGTAAGTATATATTCTTTGGTGTGTTTAAAAAAAGAAAAGTGAGTGGACATTGGAATTCAGCAAGTGTTATAATTTTACATTTCTTTACCAGAGTTGGAAGTTTCATGTGAACTTCTTTACTTTGAAAAATTAGTGTTGAAATCTCTCTCCTGCAATTTAGAAATCTCAAATAAGATATGAGCTATTCATTTAGAGAACAAGAAATGCATTTCTAGAATAGAATGTGTCCATCCAGTCTATCACAGTACTCCTTTCTTGGGGGATGGGGGTTGGGGGGGGCAGCATTGTCCTGCCTAAACAAACTAACAGACATAAAACAAGTTTACATGCTAGTGCAGGAAGTAAACAAACACACACACACACACCACAATGTAAGCTATAGCTTCCATGGTCCCAAGCATCTGACAAGTGAGCTTTTCTTTTTCTTATTTTCATGGGGCCATGACCACCCATTGAGTCAGGCCTGCCACCCATCAGGACCCACAAGGGCCAGTGGTCTCAATTATTTTTTTTAAAAAAAATCAACATAGAAGAGAGAATAGGGAAGAGAATGGCAAGAAGCGATAATGAACAAGGGAAGGGATGTTGCATAACTTAAGAGTGTTACCATTTGTTTTTTGGGGGGAGGATGGTCACATACTAATGGACAAGAAATTTGAGGACATGACTATTTATTACAGGAGACTCTTCAAGTCAGTTGTTAGTTTTTCTATTCTTTGAACTGCAATATAATGTTGATATTTATAACCAGTCTTCTCAAAGATTTCAAAGTAAAAATTCAACTGACTAAAAGATGCACTGCTAAAGGGTAATGATAAAAGGTAAGAGAAATTGAAAATGTCTCCAATATTTGATCAAGACTTACAAAATCTACAATTTTTCTGTTAAAAGAATGAGCCTTCTCCTCTGACAGTGTTAGCATATAAATGAAGATAAATTAGCTCCTCCTCCCCGACTCTTGGCAGCTTCTCTAAGTGCCAAAGATGCAAAGGTGTAATAACCTAAGAAGTTGTCAGACTTAGCAAATAAAAATACAAGATATCTAGTTAAATTCTAATTTCAGATAAACAACAAATTAATTTTTAGGATGAGTACTAATGTCCCATGCACTAAATATGTCCCTGTAATTTTTGAATCACATATAAATATAAACAAGATTCCCCAGATTCAGACCAATAAAATACCTCTCTTCACTAAATTTCTTGGAAGATCTTTTACATAATGGAAGCTTTAAAAAAAAAAAAAAGACAAATTAAAATGAGATTAACTTTTAGAAAGTGTGCCTGACTTTTGGGAATGGTACTATCAACAGGCTAATTTTACTCTTTAAAAAATAATTTAAAACATAAGTCTATTCCAGTATTTTGTTGAGTCAGCTGCCTTTATTTCATGCCAAAGTGGATTACCAATTTGAACTTGAAATAAAGTGACCGGTAGAGTTAAGAAAATAGATTCACCAAGTTTCTGGTATTCTCCAGTGTCTTCTGGTAGCTCCCACTCATCAGCAGAGCGGTAAGTTACAACTTGAGTGTATCTTTGATATTTTTAAGCCATGTGTCCCAGTGGCTTCTTGTGCCCTAGTTACTGAGGTCATTCCTCACGATCAACTTGTAGCGATGAATGCACAGTGCACGCAGCTCTGCGGCTGGTCGCACACGTCTGTGTACGCGTAACAGGTGCGCCCTCCATTCCGTTACCCTGTAATCTTCGTGAGGCCAGTGACAACAGCTGTGAAACCTCCACTGTATTTCCCCCCAGTGTTTGCCCAGTTCTCTGCACGCCATGAGTGCTCAATAAATCTTGTGCTTGTCTTCTGCTCTGCCTCCTGTGCTTTCAGGGGACCCTCTTTCCATTCACAGCGGTGATTCTCAACAAGGACATGTTCTCAGGAGGCGGGGACAGAATCAGAATTTCTGGAGGACTTTTCCCAACTCAGCATGTATCCCCACCTAAGATTTAGTTGCAGGAGCATTTGCGGTTGCCTCTCCTTCTGCTTTTTCTCTTCGCACGTGCGTAACTGCAGATATTATGAAGGGAAGGGTGTTGTGTCTGTGAGCAGTGTAAGACACAGATAAAAAAAAAAAAGTGTTAGGGAAAAGGACAAACACCCTATGATTCTACCCAAGTGAACTATCTGAAATCATCAAGATCGTCATAACAAAGTGGAAAGGTGGTTACTAGGGTCTGGAGGTAGGAGGAGGGGCAATTAGTATTCAACGAGTATAGAGTTTCAAGTGTTGCCAGATAAAATTCTAGAGCCCTGCTGCACAACAATGTGAAGATACTTAACACTACTGAACTGTACACTGAAAAATGGTTAAGATGGTAAATGTTTACATTGTTTGTTTTTTAACACAATGAAGAAGGGGAGATAGAGGGTTGGGAACCACGGTTCGTAGCATCCCTCGGCTTTGTCCTTCCTCTGTCCTCTCCCTTTCGGAGGGTAGTGAGACGCCATGACTCCCTCCCACCCAACCCATGCTGAAGTAACCACCCTCTCATGAGTGCGGATGGATGTCATCACCGTGCACCCGGCCCTTAGCTGTCCCGGTCCCCCTGCCGCGGCCCCACCCATTGCTGCCCGGCCAGACCCTTCTGCCAGCCTCTCCTCTCCACCGGTGCGGAGATCCCTCCGTTCCTCCGATGGGACATCTCTGACCCTCTTTTCCAGACCACTCGCCAGCGGAAGACAGATTCCAGGTGTCCTAAACCAGCCCCTGCAGGCGAGAGCCAGCCCCACAAGTCCACACCCCACCCCAGCTCGTAGAAGCCCAGCCTGGGGCGACTCTCAGGCCCTCCTCCTCGTCCAGGAAGAAGGGTCAAACAAGTGTAAATTGTTGGGCACCCGGCATTGGTCATAGCACGTAGCAGGGACGCGGCGAGTGCGAGCAGGCGAGTGAGTGAGGGAATGAAGGAACACAACTGAGTGGAGTCACTCCTCAAGGCCAGTCCTTTCCTGGCCCCTTTGGGGAGGGCACGTCACCCTAACCAGAGTCATCTGTCATCCAGAGTGCCCGTGGCGCTTGACAAAGGGTGGGGCTGACTGGGAAGCCACGTCATTTCCCATCCTCCACGCTGCACCTGATCCTTCTTCTACGTCCACTGACCACAACGTCTCCTTTGAGGGGAACGAGGGTGGATATGCTCTGGACGGCAAGTCCAGAACTCCGTGTCCCAGCCTTAGTCCCACTGCTGACGTGCTGCGTGGCTCCAGGCAAGTCATACGCCCTCTCTGGGTATCTGTTTCCTTGTGCAAACCACGTGGTTGCTGCTTCATCTCTGCTACTGTGTGGTCAGTGGGTCAGAATTTGCCGTGCCCTCTGATTATTCCACACCCTCTCTTCATTTTGGGCTTCCCATCCACTTTGCAATCAGAGGAGCCCCATGACGCCCAAGCACATAAACATCTCTGAGGACAGCATGATTTCCAGGCACCTCCGGGGGAAGGCTGCCCGGGCCCCCAGAGGAATTAGGCAGCTCTCAGACCTGCTAGGTCGTAACTGCCCAGGGCAACTTCAGGGAAGCTGGTCCCTGGGTCACCAGCTGCATTCCTGCTGAAATGCAGGCATAAAGCTCATGCCCACAGTAAAACTGGCCTAGGTGAAGGGGGATCAACACTTACTAATGCCTGCTTTATGTGCTGCGCAAGTCATGAGTGACAGCCGGTGACCACAAACACCCGCAGAAAGGATGAATGTCTACTACATATGGTTTCTGATTTAATCCTCCAAATGAGGCACCATTTTCCACATCTCACAGGTAAACAAATTAAGGGTTAGAGGAGCTGGTAAGAGGTCCAAGGTCAGGTACCTGGTAAATGACAGAGACAGGATTGGGACCCCTTCTAATGCCAGAGGCCTGCCATCAGGATTAGGTGACATTTAGTGGTCTAAGTAATCAAGAGCTGGCGACCTCCCTTCCTACAAGCCACAGTGCCTCGTCCGTGA